ATTCTCTACACTTGGAAATATGATGCCCTTTAAAATGTTAACAAGTCATGTCACCTCTGTGAACATTACTTACATGACAGAGTTTTCTGCTGTTGTTGTCCTCTGTCAGACACAGGTTTTATCTGTTGACCATTGCCATCCATCTCTTCCTTTGCTCTATGTCCTTAGGGAAGCCATACATCCGGAACCCCTTCTCGGATCGATTAGAGCATCCAAATGCTGCACATCCAACCATGGTATGACAACTGATCTATTAAAATGCAATATAAACAAAAGTGCCATAATATTTATTGTGCAAACATTTTAACATGAATATTGCTATGTCCTCTGTTCAGTCTGCTCCCAACTGTATTCTCTCCCCTTATTCACCACTGTTCCTATTCTTGCTCTGCTTTTTAGGGCCCAGGAAACAGATGAAGAGGATGTCCCTTTCAAAGGAACCTTTTTGTTTTTTTCAAAATGGTTAGGATGCCCGAGAGTTCTGTATTGCTTTTTTGTAAATAGTATTGCTTTTTTGTAAATAGTTGCTTACCCTAACCCTTTTTTGTAAATAGTATTGCTTTTTTATAAATAGTTGCTTTTTTGTAAATAGTTGTTTGTAAATATTTGTAAAATGCCTCCCCCCCCCCACAATTGTTGTTCGCACAATTACGCTTCTGTTTTTCACTTTTTGGTGTCCAATGTTCAGTCACTGTATTGGTAAGCAACAATTTGTTTTGGCCAAAATGTGTTATTCACACTCCTGACTCCAGTTTGATGTGCAGCATTCTCCTCTGAGTGGTCCTGATTTCAGGCAGAGGTCATGGCTTGGAAGGTTTTATATTCTGTAGTGTCTCAACAGAACCTAATATGAATTGCTTTATTGTCTCGTCGCTGGATCCCTGGCAAAGTGGCCTCGTTATTGTTGACAAACCTGTTTTTGTTGCTGGTTCAACTGGGGATATATACTGGGGATATGTTTGAGTTAGCCGGTTGGCCTAATCAAAAACATACGCGCTTTCGCTAAACTGTACTACGACGCGGGTTATCAAGTGGATCGCTCAAGCCAGCCGTTTCCTATCTAGTTAGGTGCGCGTTCACATGAAAGGGGTGGTATTTGGAGCATTCGACCAATCACAAACATGGAGAAGCATACTGACAGCGCAGCGTATACTTCCTGAATGAAAAGTCAACTATAATATTAGACATATGAAGAAGTTAAACTTTAAACATCCATGACTTAAACACTTGATCCAGGATCAAAGCCACAGCCTGCAAGGTGAATACAGCTGGCAAAAGAAAAAGTGTTTGAATGCATACATTAACAGGTTTATGATATCACTGCCCCGTCTAAAACACGATCTGACTTTCATTACATTTGTCTCGAGTGTTTCGTCAACTTAATGTGTTGCTTAAAATAATACTTCTGCATACAGTAGCCTATGTGACACTGTGAGTGTTGCACGGCCAGATACGGCTCAGCTGACTCAGATAAGGAGATATATGATACTACATTATGATGTGATATGATCTGATATGAATGATAATGGGACACATCGACGTCTGCACTCAGTGTACTTATGTTGTGGCAGATATTTAAGTAAGCTTTCTTAACGCTAATGTTATAATAGTCAGATTGCTCTGAAGATGGGAGGTGATATTCTATTAATGTTCACGTTCACACAGTCGGTGATTTTTGCCGGCCGTCTTTCCTGCGACGGCAGCTTTTCTGTATTTCCTTTCTCCTGTAATATGACTTGATCGCTTTAAACTCCGCACACTGAGCTCTGATTGGTCAGCAGGCAGTGCTTTCACTGAGTTGAGCTCTTAGCCTGCAACCTAACCTGGTCCCGACCAGGTTAGCCGCTAAGCATAAATTACCATGGAGATCTAGCCTGCTAAAAAGAGAACCAGCTTTGTAGGACCGGAAAGCCGGAGTTTTCCCTGAATTTAGCCGGCTAAGCGAAAATCCTGCTTCGTAGTATACCCCCCAGGAGCTTCTGTAAATAGTTTTGTAAATAGTTTGAATATTTATCATAGTAATCATTTTTAGTCTCCCACTCTCTCAATTTAATTTATCGTTTCTTTGCCCCACCATATGTTTTGTTGTCCAAGGGCACTAATTTGGTCTGTGTTGAAGATTGTTTTACACTTTAGATTAATCAAAATTGTGTTTTTTGGCTGAATTAATCTTTTTCTGTTGAACCCTAACCCTCTTTGTTCTCCTTCTCATTCATTTTACTTTGTTTTGTTCTAACACACATCCCACATCACATCACTTTTTCCATACACTGTTCTTAATACTTGTTCACACATTTGTTCGTCCCTTTTACTTTGTTCTTCCTGTTGTTCTTGTTCAAACACATATATCAATTGTTCATCCACTGTTGTGGTAAAATGATATTCATAGTCTTAACATGATCATGCTACCCATGCTAACATGAACACAAACGTTTCCCTCCAAAAATGTAAAACGTATCTAAGTAATAGGCTACCAAGCTTTCCGTTGTCACCCTGCCTCTCCAAACGCAAAACTCAATAAAAAGTATGCAATAATGCAATTACAGCTGAAAAAGTACTTGGATGTGTGTGTTTTTTTATATATATATTTACCATTCAATAACGCAATCGCTGCTGTCTGTCTGTCCCATAGAAGAACATGACAGCGCAGCGCAACTATACTACGGACGTGACTGCCCTGGCAGTGACAGCAACATAGCCTGCTTGTGCTCCCACACTTTCCCCTCAAAATATCGTTAAATAACGAAACTTATAAATGGTGCCAATCCATACAAAGTGTAACCACATCATGTAAATATGAAAGCAATCTTTAAAAAATAACAGCGTTGGTTTAATCTATGACTATTTTGACCATGTTTGTGCTGTTTTTGCCATAGAGAAGCATTGCAACGGAAGTGCGTTTTGAACTATCCCGGCATACATAAACCACGTGACCGGCTGGCGGCGACATCAAAGAGTGTCGTAACTTATCTCTCTAGGGCTCTGGCGTGGACGCGCTCGCGCACGCTTGGCCTCCGGTCCTTCTGTACGCGTTCCCACCCCTGGCTCTGATACCCCCAACTCTGGCCAGAGTGAGAGAACAACGCCACACACTTATCCTGATAGCTCCACACTGGCCTGCAATGTACTGGCTGGCGGAGATATATCGGCTGCTGTGCGGGCAGCCGTGGCAGCTCCCACTACGCAGGGACATACTGTCTCAGGCGGGGGGGACGATTTTTCACCCACACCCAGAGCGCTTGGCACTATGGGCCTGGCCCGTGAGTGGTACAATCTGAATACAGTGGGACTCCCTCAGAAGGTGATAAACACTATTCAGAGTGCAAGAGCTTCCTCCACCAGGTCCCTCTATGACTGTAAGTGGAGGGTGTTTCAATCAATCAATCAATCAATGTTTATTTATATAGCCCAATATCACAAATGTTACATTTGTCTCAGTGGACTTTACAGTTTGTACAAAATATCAGTATGACAATACTGAAAGTATAATACACCAAAGTATGGTGTTTGAGGAGTGGTGCCTTCAAAAAGGACACATCTCTTTTCAATGTCCTGTCGGGGTGATTCTATCATTTCTACAGGACCTGATTGATAAACACAGAGCTTTCTCTACGATCAAAGTGTACCTGGCTGCTATTGCTGCATGCCATGTGGGCTTTGAGGGAAAGACGGCTAGCCAACATCCCTTGGTCTGCCGTTTTATGAAAGGGGCTCGCAGGCTCCTCCCTGTTTCCAGGTCACTGGTGCCCTTATGGGACTTGGCAGTGGTTTTAGATGGGCTCACTCGACCTCCATTTGAACCCCTGGAAGAAGCTGACATGAAACACCTGTCACTGAAGACAGTGCTGTTACTGGCTCTGGCATCTGCCAAGTGAGTCAGTGACATTCATGCGCTCTCTGTACATCCTTCATGCATTCAGTTTTCCCCGGGGCAAACGAGAGTGTTGCTGAAGCCCAACCCTGCCTTTGTACCTAAGGTGGTTGGCTCATGTACCCCCATTGACATTGAGACATTTCCTCCGCCACTGTGTTCCTCTGAGGAACAGCGGCCGAATTTGCTGTGCCCAGTCCGTGCTTTACGCACCTATATGGACAGGTCAAAAGAGTTTCGATGCAATGACCAACTCTTTGTATCCTGGGCTAACCCTCATAAGGGCAAGCCCGTTACCAGGCAACGGCTCTCCCACTGGATTGTGGAAGCGATTGCTCTGGCTTATACGAGTCAGGGTTTGCAGGCACCAACGGGCCTGCGTGTTCATTCTACTCGTGGACTGGCTACATCCTGGGCTTTGTTCAAGGGTGTTTCCATCCAAGACATTTGTGCAGCAGCGAGCTGGTCCTCACTGTTCACTTTTGTCCGCTTTTACAGGCTAGATGTCTCTGCTCCAAGTGTGGCCCGCGCAGTGCTGGGCCCCGTGTTGAGACAGGGTTCTACCTGTTAAGTTCTGGTTGTTTTGGTGATTTTCGAGATAAGCATGTCTAGCAATACGGGAGTTTCAATATCCCATAGTGAGACATCGAACGGAGTGTTATGAATGAGAACTATAGGTTACTTACGTAATCCAAGTTCTCAGAGTAACATGAAGTGAGATGTCTCACCAGACGGCCCTTCTTGCTAAGGCGAAGCGAGAAGAGGTGCTTATTTTGAATGACGCTGCGACGTAGCGCAAGCTACTTAAAGGGTGGGTGGATTCCCTGACGTAGACGTCAAGATCACCAGCCAATCAGGATTGGCGTAATGAGATTGATGCTTCTGTTTGCATACGCGTTGAGGCGCATCCCATAGTGAGACATCTCACTTCATGTTACTCTGAGAACTGGGGTTACGTAAGTAACCTATAGTTTCTGATTGGGCCATGGGTGTAAAGCCAGCCCACATTTCCGATATTACGTCATATCGGACGTAAATCTGGATCAGCTCCGTTGTACCCCCGTTTTTAGAGATTTGGGTACGGAGGAAAAGAGAGAGGGTTTTATTTTCTGACACTTTGTGAGTTCCCTGACACACCGGGGACACAATTATGTATAAAAGACATCAAAAAGTGAACACTGTTAGCATTAGACTCAGGAGGTAAAGTACTGTACTGACTCAATGAATCTATTCATTAAAATAAATTGCAATAATTTATCAAATTGGAATTAGGCCACTGCATTGCTAACAATACCGTTTTAGCTAGCTTACATTCTTTTTAAAAATGTAATAGAATTATTTGTATCCCCTATGTAGTTAAAATACATTAATATTGCCAATATTGTACATTAACTTAGTACATCATTCCCTGAAGATATGTGACAATATTTGTGCACAGTTTGTGAAAATACTTGCAATATTTAAGATGAAATGTAAATATGATGTACAATATAAGAATCACAATATTCACTACTATGAGGGCCATAAGGGGGTGTGTTACCTGTTACCTTTCTTAAAGAGGTTTTTGTACTTTTAGTCTTTCAATATTGTGCTTACATTTCATACATTAATATTGTTAACATAAGGCTACCAGGTAAAAGTCCAGCACATTTTTACTACTATGACAAACCAAAAAGTCTGCAATGTAAAAGGTCTATCCTGTTTTAATGCACTTGTTAAATCCTAACATGAGTGTGTGTTGTTGCAATGTGATGTTCCCGTCCTCCAGACAGGAAGGAGAGTCTCCTTACGCCAGGCAGAGGGAGCCAGGAGGCCTGCAGGCTGCAGACGGTATCCAGGCTGCAGGGAAGAGCACATTAATTAAATTGTACAGAATGTAATCCGCAAGATCCTTTTATTTTGACCAAGCAATCCTCTGCAGAGTATCTGATGTGTTCCTCTTTTGAGAGTATAAAAGTATGTTGTTCAGTGAGATCTTTACTGGATCCTGACTCTCTCTTGTGTGTTGCTGTCAATCTCCAGGTGCCAACTTTAACCCAAAAGCACCGGCACCCTTCTGCTGCTGCAGACCTTCCCAAGAAAAGGAAGCAGACCTCCAGGGCCCCTCCTTCCAAACATGCTAACCTGCCACCTGTTGCTACTGTGGCCCCCAGACCTCCACTGCTCCACTGCACCACAACACACCTGTCAACATACACAACCGCTCACTAGAAGAGTTCCAGCGCATCTACCATGGAGTTGTGGCAACACATAGATATAAAACACATTTTCGAAATCACTTAGAAATCCATCTCTTAGGTTTTCATTCATCCAAAACATTTATTTAGCTTTTTCTTCAACTGCTCACAGGTTCTCAAGCCTCAGCCTCTGTCAGTAAATATCCTGTTGCCACGTGGAGACCTCAGTGTAAGGCAAGGATCAAAGACACACATGTAAATATCATGCTTCAGTGCAGAAACACAAGTGTAATAATAACATGACTAGACTGAATAAAACGTGTTTCTGCTGCTTCATTGTTTTCATCTTCTTCTTCTCTCAGGTATGTATATGTGCAAACACACATCAACTGAAACCTGACTGACTGTGATGCTAAACTTCATCAACCAGAAGGAGCTCCTCTTCCTCATTCGCCTTTGAACGCAAGGTAGTGTTAATACGGCTGATGTATAGAAGTATGAGATATTTGTTAGTGCTATCTCAGTTAATCTTATAAAGCCTATCGACGTAGTTCAATAAACACAGTTATATATCTGTAAGTGAACATCATATGAGGTTGAAACTTTTCGCAGTACTAAAAAAATAAAATGTTAGAGGGGTTGGTAGTTATGAATTTAAACAATTTTACAACAGACTCTTGATGTTGAATTTTTGATGAAGGTTTGGTGATGAATGCTATTTTAATGCAACACATTTTCTTTGTGTTTTTCTCAAGACTTTATTGGACTTCCACATCTACTGTACCAGGACCTGATCCAAGATTCCTTCTACAGCTGGTGTGATCCAGAGATTTTTTGTTTTTGAGTTTGCCAGCAGACCTCTTTTCTTACTAGTTACTTTCTGAAAAGGGTTTTAGGAATTTTTATATTGCTTCAATATGCTCACGTGTCTTTCACTTTTTAATAATTAATATGTTCACAGTTAGAAATTGTATTTAGTCTTTAATAATGGGAACCTGAGTTTCTCAATTCCCAATATGTGAAAAAAGTGAACAATCAAGTGATTATATAGTTGTTAATAAGTTATAAATAATTTTTGAATTATTAAAGGTTCAATCTTTTTGGATATATATTCTGTTTTATAAGTTAATAACAAATGTAGTTTAATACTCAAAGTTCGGGACAGACAACAATAGAAAAGTGTACCAGAAAATACCTCGAAGTAACACAAAGTATGCCGCAAAGCATATCATATACATTACATGTATATGGTATATTCATATACATTTCTGTTTTGCCAAATGTTTTGTTTTGTTTTTGTATTCAGAATTGTTTTAACTGTAAATAATACAGGTAAGAGCAGGTTTCATTATACGTGCACTGCAACAGGAGATGCACTGGTCATGTTTATAGCTTTAAATGACTAGAAAAGGGGGAAAGCTCAACACAATTCATTCCTGATCACTTCAGTTTGGTGACTTTATTTAAAATTTCACAGAAATGTTGTGTTTTGTCATACGTTCGCAAACACTGGTGCACTTCAAGAGTTCCCGTACTGTTTTTTTTTTTATACATGCATCTGCTGTAAATAGTTTGTGTTAAATATACGAATTGATATGTCTGGATGTCGTTTCTAAATGCTTCCGTTTTGTACTGTTATTTTGAAAGCATTGATGTTTATTTACAGTTTATTAAAGTAGAAGCAGTTCTTCAGTGTGGCCTGTAGATGGCAGTAAACACTCACAGATGGGAGCTCCAACAAGCCGTTTAGTCTTTAGGACATAGAGTGAATACACACATACAGAGATGCTGTATGAGAAACGATTTTGGGAAATTGCACAATATAAATCTATTTTAGATGGAATTATGATCAGTAGAAATGGCCATGACATGGGACCTTTAAATGAACGCGTGTTTAGTCCAACCAACGTCGATGCCACCATTATAACAATATATAACTTCCGGTGAATACTTTCACAATAAAACTAAAATTACAGACACGTTTGGAGGCACATCATGGTCCATGTGATGTTTTCGTGTTGAAGCAAAGCGATACATCCTGTCACGATACTTTGACTTTTTCAACAGTATAGAGAGAAGTCTGTGAAACATCCCTTCTCTACATTAAGTGGAGTTGAAAAGGTCCGTCGTCACGTCCAAAACTTTACGTTAAGACAGAGGCAGAAGTCAACGTTATTCGGTGGCTAGAGGGATCGTTTTTGACAACTACGTAACGTTAGCTACAAGCTAACCAAGCTGTTCTTCTGAGTTTTTCACTTACCGGGGTAAGTTGACTATGGACAGTGGACACCGTTAGCCCATGAATGAGCTTTTACTAACAATAACTTAACGAGTTATTTTATCGGACATCACAGTTATTTGTTTGTTTCTCTTGTTACAATCATATTATGGCGTCAGTTGTTGTTTGTGTGTCGGCAACTTAGCCTTATTTTCGAGACCTCTTTTACAACAGATGACGCATCTAAGGGGATCAGGTAACGTTGATTATAATGAGTATTCATTACATGTTTCAAATTATAAAATGACGTCTGGTTGTCAATTGGCTGCTCTTAGCTCTGTGGCCAAAGATACGCAGTAATTTGAATGGAAATACCCTAAAGTATAAGCACATATTCTGAATTATATGTATGGTAAACATCTGCTCTTATGCTTTACATGTTTTTACGTGAGTTCTGTCAGCCCATGTTTGGATAGATGCAGCTAGTTATACATCCAGCTAATTGTACTTGTTTTCAGAGGGAATGGAGAAAGCTAAACAAGTTGCATTCGACAGTGCCAGACTCCAAGTGATCAAAGATGGCTATGAGAGGGCCTTTGAGTGCATAAATAAAGGACTGTCTGTAGATGAATCCGGGGACAAGACACATGCCCTGGAGCTCTACAAGCAGGGGAGGAAGCACCTCCTCAGGGCCATCAGTGTGCCATCACAGGGAGACGAGTGTTACGGCAGCTCCTGGGAATCAGCCAGGCAGATGCAGCAAAAGATGCAGGAGACGCTGGACAACATCACCACTCGACTGGCCATTCTGGAGACCAGCTCTGACCTTGGATCTGCACCTACACTGAACACTAGCAGTGGATCTGACCCTGATGTTGCAGACGCGTCTAAAGAAGGTCTCTATCCAAAACTTTCTTCCAAAAACAAACCAGATCCACCAAACCAACTTCCTGCTAGCAGCCAGGCAGCAGGGGCTGTAGGAGGCGTGTCTGCCTGCAGCAGTAAGGGTCTCCCCCTCTCCCCCACCAGACAGCCTGTGGGTCCAGTGGAGAAGCCTCCAGCTTACTCTCCTGAGGTGGCTGAAGGCCACCTGTCTGTCTCATACAGCACAGATAAGGGGGAGTTGTCTTTGGTTGGGGAAGAGTTCTACAGTCATACGTCTAACTCAACACCATCTCCCCAAAGTATGGGTGAAGAGGGAGAGGAGCTGATGTACATCCCTCATGGTGTACAGATATTCTTTGTCACGCCTGAAGGTGAGGTGAGCGCTCCCTCTTACCCGGGCTACCTGCGGCTGGTGAAGTTTACCGGTGACCAATCCGACAGAATGCCCAACCGCCCACCAGCTTTTCTGCAGGTAAGATAAAATCAGTTCACCCCCCCACACACACTCACACTAAAACAAACGTTGTTACTTAGCCTGAAATAACTTGATAAGCCAGCCCTCATGACCATCTGATGCAATAAGCAGGATTGAAACGCCATCACTGCCATGTCACCAGTCTGTCTCGTGACCTTTAACCTGATTTGATAAAACGTTTGCTCGGCTCATCAAGCTCTCTCTGACTGTGAGTCATCAGCAGGAGGAGACTGGTTAATGATCTCTAACCTACTACAATCGACTTTATCATGTGATTGTTGTTTACTTGGTGCCCTAAGCTCAATTGGTTTATGGATACAGTTTCATGCTCCTGGGAAATCTTGCATCAGGATCATAATTGGTACTTCACTCATGACCTACTGGAAATCAACTTCCCCCACATAAAAAAAACGCCATCATGTATAGACTTGGCCACAATAACCTCCACATCAAACAACTTTGATGATCTTGTGACTATTTCATTCAAAAAATATATAAATGATGTGACATATTTATATATTTGGCTAAAAGTAAAAAATAAATAAAACGTACCTTATGCACAGCTCAGGGAATCTAACACAATTGCCACCGAAGCAGATCTTTTTTTTTTAAAAGCATGGTGCCTGAAATGCATTGATACCAGAAAATAGTTATACATTACATTCTGATATCAAAAATAGCAGCACTATAATACATCTTACATTTAAGAAATGTATCTTGTACTGTTTGTGTCAAAACAATGAGGTTTTTTTCAAGGACTGCTTCATGCTATGCTATGCTATGCTATGCTCTTCCCAGTAGTGATGGGAATTATGGCTCTTTGAACGGAGCCGGATCTTATGGCTCCGTTCCTTTGCGAGAGCTGTTCAAAAGAGCCGTTTTTTATAAGGGGGCGGGGTTAATAGGTTTATCTGCGAAAGATACCTTTTTATAATTCAATCAAATTTAGCCCTGTTTTGATTTATATGTGTACCGATATATCACTTAAATTATTCAATACATCCTTTGTACTGAAGTATTCTAAAGTAAAAATTACATTTTTAATATAAATGATTTGCTGTGGCCAAATTGTTTTCATTGCATAAATGTACAGACCCTTGCAACTCTCTGATTGTAGAACCACACAAACAAAAACAAGCAGATAGCAACACCTATACAAACTGACAACAAATATTTGCTGTGCCTAAAAATAATCATAAATAACATAATGAAAATAAATATATTGCAATGCTTAAAACAGCAGCATCAACCGTCTCTAATCCTTGGATATGACATGTCACTGCATGCATGCACGGAGCACCCATAGCGTGGAGATCATCTTTGAGTCGGCTCGTTCACGACCGACACATCACTAGTTTCCTGTCTACAGACAATCAGTCCTTTCTAACACCATTTTGGTTTGTTAATCAGGAGCTCATAAGCAAAATAAAAGATAAGAAAGTATGTGAGGCCATGCAAACATATCAGCTTGGGTTAAAAGTCAATAATAATGCTTTTACTTCATCCACCTTATCCAGTCTTGAGCACATTTGTGTGATTTCTTTACATTTGATTGTCAACCTTTTACCCTGCTGTTTAAAACCACCACTGGTGGATCATGAGACAGAAATGTGGCTCTTCATTGGGGAATTTCCAAGTTGGTATTTCCCTCAGTGACATCAGTGCAAGTAAATCAACTAAACCCTGCTTACACTGTTATGCCCTATAATCCTGTTAGACATGCAGAGGGAGAGTGTGTCCTCTGGTGTCTCCTCTCCTACTGTTCACTGTTTTGCACTACTTAGGATCACCATTAGGCATGTGAGGCATGTCATTTTCAAGGTTTTGCAAACCTATACTTAAACGGGCCGTATTATGATTTTTGGGTACTTCCCTTTCCTGAAGGTATTATATGTGATTGTGTGCATCTCCCCCCGAAAAACCTTGATACTTAGTTACATTGCTATGTATCAATCGCTCTTCTATTGGCTACCAATCCAACACATTGTATATGATTTGCTAGGGGATATGATAACTGTAGGCTCCGGTTGACTAATCACAACAGAGCCGGCCAGCCAATCAGAGCAGTCTGGGCTCTCGAGGTCCTGCAGCACAGGCAGTATGAGGAAAATAATGCACTTTTTGAACATTAAAGCATGTAAACATGTCACAGTAAAGGCACAACATACAAATATAAACCTGAAATGAGAATAATATGTCCTCATAAGCAGTATATTTTTGCAAAGGTTTATCCCTCTATTACATTTGTCTTGAATGTAAATTCAATTATCTTAGTTTTTTTAATATATATTGGGGCATGTGTCTCAAAAATAAATTGAAGCGTTGGTCTGATTCACATATTCTTGACTTCATTACATGTAGTTATTTATCCTCAAATCACCCATGTATATCCTTGTACCTTTTGTTTTGCTTCCTGGCAGGTGTGCGACTGGCTGTATCCTCTCATGGCCGTGGACTCCCCCGTGTTGCTGTGTAACACTGGTGTGTTTATGTTTCCGGACATGATGGCGCCGGCTCCAGGTTATTATGTCGGGGTGGTGCTGTCCGCTGAGCTGTCTGCTGCTCACAGAGAGCTGTTCCAGAACCTACTGTCCCAGATGACAGATCTCAGGGTACAGGTCAGTGTGACTTTGCAGTCAGTTTTGCAACAGCACACACATTTGATATTCTTTGGGGAACAAATGCGGCCAATACATCTGAATATATAACATAACAGGGCACCAGTTGCCATGTTTTTTCATGCTGACCAAATGCTCCTAGAAAATGATCCTCTGAAATTAGTTTGTACTGTTTACACACATTAAAATATGTGCACATAAGTATTTCAAGTCCCCACAGAATTACACAAATCCTCTTGTGCCAGTGAGGGGTACAGAGAGCTATTTTAGGACAATTAGCCTCAAGTTCGAGTGCTCAATCACTATTGGTAGTTACAGGCATGTGACAGTGGGTGTATCTTCCTATTCTTTGAAAGCTGCAATCTCACATATCAGTCATATTGTTTAATAATAACATTACCAAGTAAATACCAGAATGCCTGAGCTGCAAATGTAAATGTTGACCTTACAAATGAGTGTTTGCCATACATAAGAATCTACAGTATGTGGGTCATAGATTTGTCCTTACACATACAAACACTTTTTGCTTATAAACTCTGCATTGAAGTGCAGTTGTAAGTCCTGGATGATATATAGTGTGCCATAATGAAGCAAGTTAGCCTGTCACTTAATAGCCTTCACTCTCCTCCTGCCGTCACTGACACATTCTGCAAATACTGCAGATATTTAATCTTTCCCTTCCATGAAAAACATTGAAGTTAATGCATTGCTTACATCATGCTTTGAGGCTTCATTGTGTTTTGCCTCGCATGAAACTCTTGCTCCTGCTTACTTCTGAGCTGGCACACATCTCCAAGTTAGCCCTGCCTCAGCATTGCAGAGATTTGAGAAAGGCAGGTGAGGAGAATTAATCAGTTATAATGCTCTTATCAGCAGCAGTTGGAACAGCTTCAGAGTTTCAGCTGAAAGACAAGTGCCAGTTCAGCCATGATGGAGGTAGAGACGCTGGCTCAGATCGATGCCAAACAAGGTCATTTCTGTTGTATTTAATCAGGCTAGTCATCTTTTCTGATGGACCTGATTCCCTGTCGGCCGAGAGTAGGCACTTTTGTGTTGTTTTTAGGTCAAGTAGAATTTCTTAAATTTGAGCACAAAGGGAGACTGTTTCCTGACTGAATAGAGACCTTTTAAAAGGATTTTTTTCTCTGTGGCAAACAAAAGCCACATTGTAACGAGAAGCACATACTAATAAGAGGAGTTATTGTGTTAATTTGGGGTAACTTGGAGACAAGCTTCTGGACGAAAATGTGTACAAAGTAGCACTTTTAAGTGGCATTTAGGTCTTCATTTCAGCCCATATTGTCTTGTCTTCACCTTGCAGTAGCTAACCAATGTGCCTATATGAACAGGCTCCAGAAGAAGCTGCAGAGACCATTAATCTCAGTCAGAAGGTGTCCATCGCTACGCCTCAGGAGACTGCAACAGGGGTCACAGAGGAGGATGAGAACGAGGAGGGGAAGCCTCTGCCTGAGTGGAGTGAAAAGGTGGCAAGCGGGATCCTGACAGGTGAGGTCGAACTGCGTCTTCACCTTTGCAAAATCTTAAAGGGGACCTTTCATGCAAAATGCACTTTTTGACGTGTTCTATTAGGGGTGTAACGGTATCCGTATTCGTCCCGTACCGTCACGGTTCAGACGTCACGGTTCGGCACATACAGTCACACGACGAATACGCCTTTTTTTTACGAGTGGGAAAAAAGTATGTCATTCAGGGCAGTATCCACTACACTATTTATAATCCAGGGGGCGGTATTGCGCCTAAAAGCTGTTTGCCAGCCGCCCTTAAACGACAAATGAAGAACAAGAAGAAACACAACAACAAAACGAACAAAATACAAGAAGAAGAAAAGTTAGTATGGCGATTTCAGATAACACACAGGAGCTAGAACCCACCTGCTTCTTTTAAATCAGCTGTGTGGGAACATTTCGGGTTCCCTGTGGACTACAATAACGATGGAGTGTGAGTGGTGGATCGGACGAGGACGGTGTGTCGGCATTGTTCGATAGCGGTGCGGTATGCTAATGGAAACACACGCCAAACATGCTAAATCATATCAGAAGGCATCAGCCAGATTTGCCAATCACCGGAGCCCGGCAAAAGACAACAGCAGTTCAGCAGCTGATCCCCGCTGTTTTTAAGAAGCCAAGAGACATCAAAGCCGAGAGACCAAAATAAATAACGGAAGCTTTTGGCATATGTTTTTCAACGACTTTGCGCTCTTGAAACACTTTCTTAATATTTATGATGTCATATTTTCAAGACATTCTTTTTAGTTTTACAGCTTGATGAAACCTTTTTGTTTGACATCAGCCATTATAGATAATATGGCCATCTGAGTGTGTGTGGTACTGTTTGTGGTTTGTTTTTAACTGTGTAATACAGTTAATTATTCAAAAATGTTAGAGTTCCTTATTTTTAAACTGAAACTTGCACTACTGTTCAAAAATGATTAACAACAAACCTGGAATTATGCATTTGGGACTTTTTTTTGGCTTTTCCTTGTTTTACCGAACCGTGACCCCCAAACCGAGGTACGTACCGAACCGTGAATTCTGTGAACCGTTACACCCCTATCTTCTATACATAAATATGTGTCTCCGGTGTGTAAGGGAACTATCAGAAACAATGTCTGACATGTTTTGTACGTAATAGGTCTTTGTTTACATTAGCAAGCATCGCTAACACTCAGAGCTAACCTGTACTGGAGAGTATGTGTAAAAAAGCAGGATATAAAAGGAACTCACCTTGTGGTAAACCCGCCAGAGAAAAAGCATTTGTGCTCCATACTGTTTCAGAAATAATCCTTGATGTGGTTTGGAACATGATATGTCATTTAATCACGGCAGCATGTAGCTTTATCTCCGGAGAATTCTTTTTCAAGCTAAGGACCCCGAACCTGCAGTTCTCTAACAGGCCTGAAATGGAGGGATATGAGGGATGTCTATGATGTGATTTGCTCAAAATACCAAACAGATCATGCATTTCAGACATGTTTTTTATATATTTGTATATATCTGAGACCCATAATATATGCCTAAAAATAACATAATAGGAGATCTTTTAATGCTTCTGTTTGTTCACTATTAGTTAGGACTCTTTGACTCGCCCTGTGTGATCCTGTGGTTCTCTCAGGTGCGTCCTGGCTAAGCTGGGGTCTGGTGAAAGGAGCTGAGTTCACAGGTCAGGCCATCCACAAAGGGGCATCTAAACTCCGGGAACACATCACCCCGGAGGACAGACCCACCAACGTCAGCCCCACAGTCTCCAAAGGCCTCCATGTGGCCAAGCAAGCGACAGGGGGTGCTGTCAAAGTCAGCCAGTTTCTAGGTGACTAGTCATACCCTATCAGCATATTAAACTGACCGTCTGTGGGCATCTCATTGAGTAATGCTTTGTTGCTGCAGTGGACGGGGTGTGCACCGTCGCTGGCTGTGTGGGGCGGGAGTTGGCTCCACATGTGAAAAAACATGGAGGCAAGCTGATCCCAGAGTCGATGAAGAAAGACAAGGACGGGCGTTCTAACATAGATGGAGCCATGGTGGTGGCTGCCAGTGGAGTGCAAGGTACAGTGCATTTACATGAGATATCCATAATAGGACATTTTTAAAGATGTGTAATAAAATGTGCCCAACATGCATTGTGCTCTGTGGTTTTACTCAGGGTTTGCGACAATGTGGACTGGCTTGGAAGTAGCAGCAATAAACATCACTACAAGTGTAGCATCAGAGACAGTCACCACCGTGAAACACAAGTAAGCTTTCCCTTCCATTTGAAATGAAATGTCTCAACACTGTCACGTGCTTTAATATCAAACAATGCCAACAAATTGCACAACACTGCTTTCTAAACCGGTTTTTGATGTGTATGTTGCAATTGACCTCTTACATCATACATGCAAAACCAAACGTGCACTCACTGTTTTATTTTCAAATTTACTTTGCAGATTTAGGGGTCTACAAAAACATCTTTGACCCACCTAAAGAGAATAAGTGACATTTGTCCTAACTATAGGAAGCTATTCAACTTGTTTCACCACTAATCACTAAGACAACTTTTTTTAATGAATTGGCTGTTGCTCAAAGCTTTATAAAATCATTGATGCTATTCTAATTCACTGCCTGTGTGGCAATTCACATGATCGTGCTGCTTTTCACTGATTCCTCAATATGTTTCTAATGGTAATTTCCCAATTTGCAACTTTTCTGTCCTGCCTTAAATTCAAATCTTACTGTAATGTAGGGTTGTGTTTTAGCTATACAATGTCTCATTTTAAGTGAAACACTTAATTTGCAAGGTATCTAATTAACTGCACCCAAAACAAACATTCCCATCTTGCTATTTTATCATTTAATGGTTTCTTAATTCATTTAAACAAATATCGATATTGTGGAAAGAATAAATACAAATAAAAAGGGAGATTTTGGACTTGCATGGGTGTAATGCTCACATAACAAATCACATACAGCATGGCATCTTTGCAATCCTTCCACTGCTTACTAATTCTTCTCAAATCCTCTGTTTCTCGCCTCTGGCTGTGACCTCTCACCCTATCTCACTTCTGATGAAGGTACGGGGCAGCAGCAGGACAAGCCACAGACAACGCTGTCAATTCTGCCATTAATGTTGGTCGCACTGCCTTCAATGTTGACAATCTTGGGATCAAAGCTATAGTGAAAAAGACGGGCAAGCAGACGGCGCATGCCATTTTGGAAGACTACAAGCGTCCGGAAAAACCAAATAATGGGAAGCAAGTGGAGAAATCGGGCAAATAGCTGGTATTACTCTGCCTTATTATCTCAGAAATGCCTTAAACTATAATTCTATCAAATACATCTATATTTAATTTTCACTATTTATAAAACTTATTCTATATTTAAAAGATAACTACTGTTATTTGCAGATCCTTGAGTTTAATTCTCTTAATCACTTTAATCTGTATGTAAAATAAGGTAAATGGACCTAAATGAAGAGAACCAGCAGATTATATAACCAAAATGAAGACATGGTGATACGGTATGTTGATACACTGTAACATTTAGGCATTATCAATTCACTTGAAGGATATCATTTTAACTCTGCTCTTTATACTAAAACAGCATACTGTAGAATTTCCTAATCTTCGTAAAGCGAGTTTTTCCCTTGGGGACTGTAATTTATATAATTTGAATAAAGGATGAAAATCAATATCTGTATGTATCTTCAGATATAACTGGATCGGACAAGAAAGTGTGTGTTTTCACTGTGTTGTTTAAAATGAGAAGTAATCACTGCCTCTTACTGTGCCTGCAAACATCTAACTGTATTTAAAACTGAAGCTGTCTATACACCAACATATATTTGTGTTCCACCTTCATTAAAATGATGTTGTTTCTTATGAACTAGGGGTGACTGAAATGTTAATGCCTACTGCTAGTCTGACTAGTCTAGGACTATCAAACCTAAATGGGTGTTCTGCTACAACATGAGGTGTGGTCTTCTGTATATTGTTTGATATAAAATAAATCTATATTTTATTTTAATGGATGAACTATTTAACAAGCTGTGAACTTAAGTGTGATGCTAACTTTGCAAACCAATTAGTCTTTTTTTAATGATCTGGTTTGTGCTCATTTAATCCAGCTTTAAAGTCAAAGTTGTTTTCAGATGGCTTTCAGGTACTCGAGTTGAAATTGACTGAACATAAATAAAAATGTTGAAAAAACGCATGATATTTTGTACATTTATTTAGAAAATTAGGGAATTCACAGCTAGTTTATGTTTTGCTATAAGCAGGATATTTGATTTTAGCCTAATACCTCCATCTAGTGTTTTGCAACATGTATGTTTACAGGATCATAGTAATTGTTTATTCTTTAAAGCAGGGGTTCCCAACCTTTTTTCCCAAGAGCCCCCCCAAATGACTCCTGTTGGAAGTTGCGCCCCCCCCCCCCCCCCACACACACACACACACACACACACACAAGGGGGGGAGGGCAACAGCGGTAATTAAAGTTTAAAAGTCTCAAAAATGCTACAACTACTGTCACAAACTGGACGAATGTGAAGTATTTTGTTAAAGGAGGATGAAAGCGTAATTAAGGAGCACTATTGGAGTGACTTTGATGGTTATTGGACTCAGGATTAATTCATTTGGATTCCCGCTGTATGAAGAAATTAAAGGACAGCGCAAGTGGAAACAATTCACAAAGGGATTAAACTGTTTAAAACACATGCTCAAAGTAAGCCGGCATTTGCCGATGTGTTTATGTGGATTCAAAAGTCGTAAATAATCTACAAAATGGAGGAGACCGATCTGATCGGAGCAACTGTGACAAATAATCCAACTGAAACCGGCATGGACAATGACTATGTTTTAAAAATGCGCTTATCCAGACAAGCCTGGTTTGGACACCCTTGTGTGTTATGTAGCTTTTTATGCATGTAAACGGTCTGCAAAGTCACAAACCCTCAAAGTACACCCTGTAGTACAACTCTAATATGCTGCCCCAAAACGCCTCATTGGACATTTTTCTTTTTCCATTTTTTTCTTCCTGAGTATGGTGACGTAACCATGCCCAGGTCCAAATGGACCAATCCGTGGAGCTCCTCACACACACTCAGCCTTATCTTTTCTCAGCCGCTGCTCTGCGGATTTATCAGCCTGAGACAGCGAGACACCGCGAAACTCAGGCTGAGTTCAGGTGAGTATCGCGCTGTCTCGCAGACCCCACGCAGCAACCAGGAAAAGACACCAGTAATCCAGCTCACACTGTCCGCTCAAAGGGCACAGCAGCGTGCCCCGCAACGTCCCGCCAACACGGCACCCAGACCCCACGCAGCATTCTCATCTGTTTGTCCTTACTGCTGGTGTAATTTTCTGGTTGCTAACAACCACCATTGTAACACATAATCACTGACGTTCCGCTGTAACAATGAAATGAAATACTATGTTAACAAACTCTCACTGTAAAAAAAATAAGAAGAATAATACAGTTAGTGGTTCAGGCACCCATGTTCCTTGCAGTGAGCTTTAATGTGGTTTCTGGGTCTAACTGACCACTGACAAAGGCCAACAGGTCACACGAGGCAACAAGAGGACCTAATATAGGATAGAGAAGCCTGGTGATCTCTTTCGTTTAGCTGGGCTCATCTTTAATATCATCTTTGGACATGTGACATACAATACATCTGTTGTTGTTTTACATTTGACTTAAACAAGTAAAGGAGAAACATATGTAGTGAACTGGTCTTAGTCAAGTACATTTTCATAATATCATACACAACAGGTAGGGGGCTTTACATCTTTACAGCCCTAGACTCCTACTGCTATGGTCCTGAATTGTCATTTTGTCTGATTGAAAACATATTTACAAAGAGGCTACTAGTTGTAAATGTAAAGTCAAACGAAAAGTCAAACTAGTTTGTCAATAGTTGTAAGATTGTTATGCAATTTGATAAACTGGGACTTCTTGAAAATAACCTTCCGATTTTTGAGGATAAGTAATTTGCCTTTAGCAAGCCAGCTGGACAAAAGCCATATACTAAAGTAATTGTTTGCAGCAGGTTGAACAAATAAAAAAATGCTGCCATAAAAGTAGACCCATAGTCACAGACTCACAGGCATGCAAGATGTGGCCTTATAAAAGTATGACGGCTGTTGCTCGTTTCTTTTGATACAAAAACACGTGCAATAAACCATTAGTTTCACTTCTGCTCTTCTTAAGTGATGTTTATAAGAGCCTGCTGTGTGACATGTGTCCTTTAACCGCATCACACTTATCCATGCGCTCGTTGTGACTGACCCAATTAATTATTACCATCATCTACACTTGTGTGTGGGTTGGTCACACAAAACACATGTGTAGTGCAGTATTCAATCTGTAACCCCCAGCATGTAAACGCTACCCTGCTCGGTCACTTTTTCTGCGGATTTTGAATCTGTTTTGTTTTAGCACTGGAATCAACCGTGGGACAAATCTGCTTTGAGTATTTGATACTACCAGTTTATGCTACAGATAAGGAAATATGTTGGCTGAGCTAAACACTGAAGACTAACTACATGCATGTAAAGCTAACGCTACATAATACTGAAAAAGGTAAGTTAACTTTTAATGTAAGAGCAGTGCTTTATTATATTTGTTAGTCACTTTAACCCATAGAAAGTGTGCTAGTTAGCACTAAAGTAAGGTTAGCCTTCTGCATGATGCTAAACACCTGCCAGACAATCAGAAAGGACTCGAAACGCAGTTTAAAGCTACTTGTTTTTTAGTACATGCAGGCTAATTAGTGATCGTTAATAAGTGGATTTGTTTTATTAATACGAAGGAATGAGGTTAAGCATGCAGGTCAACATGAACGCGCATCGTACAATTAATCACACATGGAGGTTTCTGTGCGGGTGCGCGCTGATAGAAACGGGAACGCGCAATGCTGATGACACGCGAGCGGGCCGATGTAAATCACTGCAATGAGGGGAGGGTGGAGGACACCGGCTGCAGCCCTGCCTCCAAGACACACGGCAGGCAGGCAGAGCACCATCACAGGGGCAACAAAGGGACGCGTGGTTCCTCTCAGGCATCAAATGAATAAATGATCCATTGAGACAAATTCTGCCTACAGCAAAACGATTTGTTCCCTTCTGTCCTAACCTCAAAGGTAAGAGATTGCACCAATTCAAGAAATGATATGTTGTGTTAATATATCTGTTATTGTTTTAACAATATATTAAGCCAAAAACCCTAGCCAGGCTTTTACTGTTAATGTTGTAGCCTACTATCCGCTGTAATAGCATGTTTTTGAATTGCCGTTGAGATTGATTTAAGGCACACCATGGAGCATGAAATGGGTGTGACATGTTACTTCATAATGTGTGTGCGATGAGCAGTAGCAAAGCTTGTATGTCATGTATTAGGAGTGTTTGTATTGGATACTAATTTCTCCCTGTATTTCATGAGGTCAAGTTAAAGTACTTCTTCAAATAGTAAGCATTTTCCCTGTTTTATTTATGGTGTAATAGCACTGTACAGTCATGGAGCTGGAGCACTTCGATGAGCGGGACAAGGCTCAGAGAAATACCCGCAGGGGCTCAAGAGGGAATGGGCTCGCCAGTCCCACTCATAGCGCTCACTGCAGCCTGTACAGAACCAGGACACTGCAAGCCCTGACCTCAGAAAAGAAGGCCAAGAAGATCCGTTTCTACCGCAATGGGGACCGCTACTTCAAAGGGATTGTGTATGCCATTTCTCAGGACAGATTTAGGTCTATAGAAGCACTGCTGGCTGACCTCACAAGAGCTCTGTCAGATAATGTGAACTTGCCACAAGGGGTTCGAACCATATATACTATTGATGGGATGGGAAAGATTACCAGCATGGACCAGCTGGCGGAGGGTGAGTGTTTCTTAAATGTATGTTTCTTTTACCAAAATGTGTAACTTCCTCTTTTATATAGCAAAATAAATCAGTTAGACTATCATGTAATCTTTGCTTTATCTTTCATTTGCTTTGCTTTCATGTTCCATTACTTTTGTCTGTGGGAGAAATAGAAAACCATCTACTCTGTGTTGATTTCCTTTAGGGGAGAGCTATGTTTGTGCATCCATAGAGCCCTACAAGATGCTGGACTACACAAAGAATGTAAATCCCAACTGGTCACATGGTGCCAGGACGGCTGTGTCCCTCCGTGATCCTCCTTCTCTTGGTAGTGTGAAGGCTGGAGCCCCAGAAACCAGGGAGAGCAAGGACTTCATTAAGCCCAAACTGGTAACCATCGTCCGCAGCGGAGTAAAGCCTCGCAAGGCTGTACGCATCCTGCTCAACAAGAAGACGGCACACTCCTTTGAGCAAGTGATGACTGACATCACAGATGCCATCCAGCTGGACTCTGGATCCGTCAAAAGGATATATACTGTTGACGGCAAAATGGTAAGTGTTAAGTTATCATTTGTAGTGGATTCTGTGAACCTCACTTGCTCTTTTTAGACTACTATTCTAATAGAGTACTTGTTTGGGTTTTTTTTATAACTTGGTACCAACAACCACTTTTATATTGAATACAGGTTTAAAACTATCAAATAAACTCCCCTTACTCAGAGGGAAAAGATGGTGAAGCTTAACAATAGTTTATCTTAATTTTTGAAAAAGATACTTCATTTCCATAAACTGAAAGAATGTGAATTGTTATACAGCCCATTTTGCTATTTGTTTAACAGTAAGCTTATTTCTAACTGAAGCTTTTAGACAAATTGTTTGCATTTTGAAAGTCATTAAACAATGCAACCAGAACAACCTTAAGTGCTCTACATTATACCTAAGAGAGTGCATTACATTACACATTTCTCCTCCCTCTGATAATTTAATTGCTCACATGTGGTGAAGAAAGTATGCTCTTTTCAGCTAGAAGTTAAAGGAGACTGGTATAACCTTAACCAGTCTGTTGATCACAGCTTGGCTGTGTGTAGTGGAGTGATCTTGTTGTGGAGACAGGCAGTGGTATAGTGGGGATTTTTTTTACTGGGTGGACGGGTGAGAGAGACACTATGGACGCGTTCGTGAACTGTCAACGGTAGGGGTACACTGTGGACCTCTGTCGCCTGTTAGCTTACATGACGCCGTTTAAAAAATATAATAATAAAGGGTGGTGCCGGCCGTCAGTGAACCGAGCCGGCCTTTCTGCGCGACTGTCACTCAAATGCGGCAGCGGGACATAGTCTCAATTTGTGGGAC